AAAGTCTTCACATGTTCAGTACATATACTAATAAGGCAGCCCTCATTTGTGAATTCAATGATGCAAATAGAGTTTTTATTTCTTTTTTAAAAAATTATTTATCTTAGAGAGAGAGAGAAAAAGAAAGAAATGATGCACACGTGCATGAGTGCAGGGAGGGGCAGAGATAATCTTCAACCAGACCCCCCGGGTGAGCATGGAGCACTATTCGGGGCTTGGCCCCATGATCCATGAGACCATGACCAGAGCCAAAACCAAGAGTTGGATGCTCAACTGACTGAGCCACCCAGGTGCCTCTAGAGTTTTGATTTCTTAATGAAATATTTCCAAGAGATTTTAAAGACTACAAGTCAGTTATTTTATAGAATGTTCCTTAACCTAGGTTTGTCAGATCTTTTCTCATGTTTAGATTCAGGCTATGAACTTTCAGCCAGAATCTTTCACACGGGAAGTTGTATCAACCTCACAGTAATTAACACCCAAAGGTGCAAGATGTCCATCTTTCCTTTTTTGGTGATGTTAATCTTTACCACCTGGTCAAGGTGTTGTCTGGTTTTTCCACTATGTAGTTACTATTTTTCTCTTTATAACTAGAAACAAATCTGGGGGTAAGACACTTTAAGACCATGCAAATGTCTTGCCCCACTGCAAACTCTCCCCCCAAATTTAACTCCCATTAATGACTCTTGTCCCAAACTTTTATGATGGTTTTAAAATGATGATTTTTCTAATTCCACAACTCTTTTCAATATGTATCCTTTGTCATTTTTCTGTTCCCAAGAACCTCCCCTCCTTCTCCATGGTTTACCTAAATCTATCTGTCTGTCATCTATCTATCTATCTATCATCTATCTATTATCTATCATCTATCAATCTATCTATCATCTATCATTATCTATCTATCTATCTATCTATCTATCATCTATCAATCACCAGGGGACTCAATAATGGACTTCAGATCACAAATTTCTTGATAGCATTGAAATCTCTTGTTTTCCTTTGGTTGTCATTTGATTTTTACATTTTTGCCAAGCCTTCTGTTATAGTCTTTCTGTATTGTTTTTCTTTCAAGTGTGTATCATCCAAATCTATTTTTTTTTAAAGATTTAACATGATCACTTTCCTTTGTTTACAGTGAAATTCTGGAAAGTATTGGAAGTATAAGACTTGACAAATAATTTTTATTTTCACACTAGCGGTTTTTTAAATAATTGTATTTGAACAAGACACTGTTCATTCTACCCAACATAACAGGAATAAAAAACTATTTTGGAAGGTCACTGTCCAACAAATGATCAGGTGTAGCAGATCACATTTTCTCAGTAATCTCCTCCCCAGGGCACAGCAATAATCTCCACTGTGGGTATCCCCACTGAGCACTTTCACCAAGGCTTTCACCAAGGAATATTACCTTGGCTAAATTATTTTCTACTCTTGTTATGTGGCTGAAGGACTACTATACAATAAATTGAGTTGTTATCTCATTTATCACAAAGTTAATTAATTATTGTGGATAAAAATATTTTATATTTCCAAGGATGAAAGATTTTGAAAAACATTCAATACTACTCTGTGTTTTTTCCTATCTTTTAAGTAAAAGCTTAATTAGTGACTTTGAGAAGGAAATGCGAAGTAATCAAGCACATTATGCTTTCTGAAGGTCTAGCTTTTTTGTGGTAAAAATGCTTCCACCATAAGGTTTATTATGTTTCTCGCATTATTCAGTTCCCAGAACAATGTATTTACTGAAAATGTAACATGCTGCTGTGATCTGCCAGTATAAATGATGCCACTCTAAAGTTTTAAAAACATGTTTCCATGCATGAAATAGAAACCTCAAACCCAAGAAAACATAAGCCCTCACATTAAAATATTTTGTATCTTCTCTTCTAATTTTATTAAAAAATATTTTTTAATGTTTTAAAATGTTTAATGTTCAATTTTAACTAAACGTTTTTTGATTGAGCAAAAGTGTATCTGGAATGTTATCTACAGAGGGCTTCTCCTTGCCTTCTCTCCATTTAATGTCTCTGTCTGACTCTCCTCTGTTTTCTTGAGTTATGGGTTGACCAGGTAAAAATGGAGAGATGTGAAGAATAAAAAATAATTCCCCCTATTTTTTCCTTATACCCTAGTTCTAACATCATTACACTAATCCCAACAATATTTTTAGTAAGTTGGAAAGATTCAAAATTGTGAATTGCTTTTGTAGCGAGTAAAAGTTACATATTCCAGGGTGGAATTTAAGATAAATTCCTTGGGTTTTGATATATAACTAAATCAGATCTTGTCATGAGTTGTGTTCCTCACTTGTTCAGATATGTCTGCTGAGTGCCCATTATGTGCCAGTCCTGGTATTATAATTGAGATTGGGTGGTGAACAGATCATGATTCCTGCCTTGTGGAGCTAGGAGGAGGGGATGGACAATGCACAATAAATATAACAATTGGAAAAACTATATGGTATCTTAGAAGATTAAAAGCACTCTGGAAAAAAATAGAGTAGACTAACGAAGACACAATGGGGAGGGATAAAATACAATCTTTTTTTAAAATTTTTTTAAATTTTATTTTATTATGTTATGTTAATCACCATACATTACATCATTAGTTTTTGATGTGGTGTTCCATGATTCATTGTTTGCGTATAACACCCAGTGCTCCATGCAATACGTGCCCTCTTTAATACCCATCACCAGGCTAACCCATCCCCCCACCCCTCTCCCCTTTAGAACCCTCAGTTTGTTTCTCAGAGTCCATAGTCTCTCATGGTTCGTCTCCCTCTCCGATTCCCCCCCTTCATTTTTCCCTTCCTACTATCTTCTTTTTTTTTTTTTTAACATATAATGTATTATTTGTTTCAGAGATACAGGTCTGTGATTCAACAGTCTTACACAATTCACAGTGCTCACCATAGCCCATACCCTCCCCGATGTCTATCACCCAGCCACCCCATCCCTCCCACCCCCCCAACTCCAGCAACCCTCAGCTTGTTTCCTGAGATTAAGAATTCCTCATATCAGTGAGATCAGATGATACATGTCTTTCTCTGATTGACTTATTTCACTCAGCATAATACCCTCTAGTTCCATCCATGTCGTTGCAAATGGCAAGATTTTGGGTATTTTTGATGGCTGGGATATAATACAATCTTAAATAGAACAGAGCAGGCCTCATTCAGGAGGTGATCTTTGATCAAAAAGTTGAATTAAGTGAGGGAGTCCACGTTCTAGGCAGAGCCTTAAGATGGGAGTGTGTCTTGTTGTGTTCACAGAGCACATGGAGTGTGTTTCTCTGTTCATAAAAGTGTGTGACTGGAGGCAGAGTGGCAAGAGGGAGTAGAGAAGAAAATGAAGTGAGAGAAATAAAAAGAGGAGCCAAAGCATGCATTGCCTTGCAGGCCCTGATTAGGAATTTGCTTTTTACTCTGGATAAAATGAGGAACCACTGGCTTTTTCCTTCTCTGGAGAAAATGGAGAGCCATTGGAAGATTTTGAACAGAAGAATGATATAATTTGACATCTACTTTAAAAAGCTCAATCTGGCTACTGGGTTTAGAATAGACTCCTGAGGGCCAAAGGTAGCTGCTGCAAGAGCAGTTAGGATGTTATCACAGCAAAGCAGGTGAGAGCTGAGGGTGGCTCCCACCAGGGAAAGAGCAATGGGGACTGTGAGTAGTCAGATACTGTATTTACTTTGAAGATGGGACTGGAACTTTTCCTAGTATGTTGCATGTAGGTTTGACAGAGGCGAAGAGTCAAGGATGACTCCAAGGTTTTGGCCTGAGCTACTGCAAGTCCAGAGATGCCATCAGTTGAGAGGATAAAGGCTATGAATGGAGGTTTGAGGGGATGATCAGAAGTATAGCATTGAACATATTCAACTTGAGATAGCTATAAGACATCCAATCTGAGATGTCCAGTAGGCAGTGGGACAAATGCATCTGAAATTCAGGAAGGAGGTTTGGAATGGAAATTTATAATTTTGGGAGGCATTAGCATATAAATAGTACTTAATACCATGAGGCCAAATGATTTAACCAAAGAAGTAAGTGTAGAGACAGTCTAGAAAAAGACACAAGTCTGATCCTTGAGACACTCCAACATGAAGACATTGGAGAAGAGGAAGAACTGACAAAAGAGGAACAGGAGAAATGATCATTCTCACATTCATTTGAAACTTGCTCCCTTAAATTGAAGATGAGAGGGAAAAAGTTAAGAGAGGAAAGGTCATTAGGGAATTGAAACATGGGGCAGATTGCATGTAAAAGGGACACTCTTCTCTAAAGGGGCTGAGGAAGGACATGACTGTGGATAGGAAATTATCTTTCTAAGAATGTGTTAGATTCAAAACTTGACTCCTTTTTATATGTCAAATGGTACATATACAGACTGACTTAGAAAGCACTACTGAGCAATTACCTAATGCAAATTGCAGTATTTTGTTTATGGAGTCATATGTATTCAATATATTTATATGTAGAACTTCTAGCAGATTCTCAACAAATAACGTGTCGAACTCTTAATGTATCACTTTTGTTCTTTGATGAGAATGTTCATATTATGTTAAAACTGTTTTCTTTGCGTACAGAGGACACATAAAAACTTTATTCAATCCTTTTTCTTACATACATACCTATTAAATCAGATGCCAGTTTGTTAAGACATGTCACTTATACTTTATAATTACTTCTCAGAACTTTGGCAGGTAGACACAGTGGGTGTGAACTGTCTACTTCTCTTAACTCTGGCTGGTTGGGAATTGTAGTCAATAAGACAAGCATTAAAAATATGAATACCTTCAAATATGAGCTAGATTTTATTACTTGGATCTAAGTAATCTCCATGGAAAGCTAGAGTTCAGTCTACATTAATTTAGAAATGCCCTACATTCTTGGAGATCATTGCATTGAAAGTCTTCAATGTTTCCTCTCTCCAAGGAGTAGAGCATAACTAACAAATCTGACTCTTCCTTCGGAAGGAGTGAGCGCCTGTGCTTACCAGGATAGGAGGAGATGGCATTGATGTGGGTGGCCCTGATGACGCCCACCCGGGTCCCACGGTTGTTTTTCATACACATGCAGATACATATGGCAATTCCAGCGATGACCCCCATGATGAAAACAATTCCAAACACTATGCCAGCAATTGCTGTACCCCTAAAAAAGGAAAACAAAAGTACATTTATTGAAAAAACTCATAAGCCTTTCAAATACACATCCGTGACTATATGACAAATGCTCTTTGGCGAATCTCCTTAAGGATAATGTTAAAAAAAAAAAGATAATTCCCTGAATCAGTCAAGTAAATCGTTTTGTGTATTTCAATAGATAAGAAAAAGTTATAAGCTCTCAGGGAATCCTCTTCCAGTACAGTAAACCTATCATTCAGATTCTGATCTTAGAAATCCATGTATTTATACAAAACACAATTATTCAGATATGCTTTCTAAAATAATAATTAAAAAAACCATTCTGCTGTTAACTTGAACAGCAAAGAATTTATTGTCTGTGAGTACACATTAACTGAAAACAACTTGATAAATGTCAAAATAGTAAATAAAATTTAACATTTATCTTTCTTAAAACTCTTCACAAAGTAGAACTGGAATTTTTCTTTTTCTTAACAGAATAGAGAAAAACAAACCAAATGTTTTTTAAGAAATTATTCAGAAAACAGTTATGACAAATGGTATTCTCATTAAATTCAGGAGCAATGCAAGCAAAACCTCTATTCTGTTAATGTTATGTTTTTCTCCAGAAGGTTTTATCTCTCACAACAAAATCGTAGAAAAAATACTGCATGCAAGAGTCAACATTATCATTATATGTAGATAATATGATCTGTAGGAGTCTACATTTGTTCACATTTTGGAAAGTAATGGAGAAATCTTTGTGAAAAGATGTAGATTTTCAACCAGCAGTATCATTTCTAGCAGTGCTTTCTGAGGAAAGACAGCACATGTGGGCACAAATAATGTAACAAGAATGTTTGCCAATATATTGTTGCTGATAGCAAGATATCAGAAACACCCTAATATCCAAATGACAAAAAAGAAAAAAGTAATGATACATCAGAGAATGAATCTTATACAGTGATTGAAAAGGGTGAAGAGGTCCATGTGTATTGAGGTGAAATGTTCATGATAGATGGTTAACTCAATAATAATACTGCAAAATGAAAAGGCAAATATCAACAATACCAGTATTAATAGAATGATAGCAAGGAGAAAATTGTATTTTTATATTTCAAATTTTTGAATGTACATATAGTGATTATCTTATAGATATGAGAAAATGAAGAAAATTTTTACTTTCTAATTTGGGTATCCCCTCCAGAAGTAACCATTTCAGCTCTTTCAAACATTGTTTTAGTACCTTTTTTATTTTTAAAGATTTTATTTATTTATTTGAGAGAGAGAGAGAGAGAGAGCGCGTGAGCATGAGCAGGGGGAGGGCAGAGGAGGAGGGACCAGCAGACTCCCTGCTGAGCTTGGAGCCTGATGCGGGCTCAATCCCAGGACTCTGAGATCCTGACCTGAGAAGAAATGAGACACTTAACCGACTGAGCCACCCAGGCACCGCTGTTTTAGTAACCTTCTTCTTATTTCTCAGTAATACAGTTACATTCTTTTATTTTTTTAAATTTTGTATTTACATATTATTTATTGGCTCCTCTTACAGTATTTGGGAATTTAGATCCCACAGACAAATTTTATCCTTGGTTAAATCAGTCATCAGTATTTATATTACCAAGTCATTGCTTACTGCTGAGCCAAGCAAAGCACCATGGTTACCTTTCATTTCTCTTACACTCACTTTAAGGAATTTCCGTGAGTTCCCATCTTTCCATATGTCTGTTGTTTTCCCACCCCACCACCAAGGTCTTAGAAAATTTTCAAACAATTATCAGAAGTTCTTAACATTTTCTTTTTACTACTACCATTATGAAATTGCATAATGCGCTTGGATTTTTTTTTTTTAATTATTTTTCCAGTCCCTTAGGATTTTTCATGTCTGGAGACTCATTCTTCAGTTCTTGAAACTGTGCCATACATGGATAATTTCATTTCCACCATTTTATCTGTTTCTCTTTCTGGAAGCCTATTCTGAAAGAACTTCTGGGATAACTTCTCTAATTTTTCTGATCTCTGTTTTCTTGAACTACTTTCTGGGGAATTTCATTGACTTTACCTTCCAAAGTTTTGTTGGACTTTCATCTAGTATATGTTTAATCTCTGGGTGCTCTATCTTATCCTCCAGGGTACCCACCTCCCTATTTTATAGTGTCCTATTTTGCTTTCATTGATATAGTTTGTCCTCTTAATCCCTGAAGGTACTAATGACATATATATTTTTAAACTTCCTCTACTTTTTGTATTTCTTCTGTCCTGTTTAGTTTCCTTTATATTGATTATTTTGATCTGTTTCATGTTTGACATTTTCCTTAAATGTCTGGTGATCCTGGATCTTCTGCTCTTTAAAAAAGAGGCACAGAAGAGCTGCTTGGAAGTTCACTGTGGCCAGCTACCATTGCACAGGTGAAATCCGTAGTCTCAGAATTCCCATAGTTTTTTTGTTGGGGGGGGATTTCCCCTTAAAAGGATCCTCCCTTAAAAGGATCCTCCAATTTCAAAGCGTGACACTTTGCCGGAGCCTAGGGTTTTACCTATAAAGGTATGAATTTCCATAAGATCTGGTGCTTTTAGCTCAGAGACTGAGTCTCACTCTGCTGTGACAGTGGGGCCATTCAGAAGAAGTCGTCAGTAACAACATTTTTGTGGTTTAAAAGCATGATTTCTAGGGATGCCTGGGTGGCTCAGTCGTTAAGCGTCTGCCTTCGGCTCAGGTCATGATCGCAGGGTCCTGGGATCGAGCCCTGCATCCGGCTCCCTGCTCAGCAGGAAGCCTGCTTCTCCCTCTCCCACTCCCCCTGCTTGTGTTCCCTCTCTCGCTGTATCTCTCTCTGCCAAAAAAATAAATAAAATCTTTAAAAAAAATAAAAGCATGATTTCTAAAGCCAGACTGCCTAGGTTCCAACTGTTCTTTGGGCAAGTTGCTGAACACCTCCCACCCCCCTAATTTTCTTATTAATTAAATGAAGGTCAGCTTGATGCTTATCTGACTCTCCTCTCAAATTTCATATCATGAAATATCTGTACCCCTGGACTCATTTGTCAGATAAATAACTTCTTATTTTTGTGCCATATACATATCTATCCCACACTTTTCTAAGACAGGTCTGTAATTCTCATTCCAAACCCTTGGGGCCAGATCTATCTCATAAGTCAGAAACTTTAAGATTTTGGAAAGGGAATATTGTACATATATCATATATTGTAGGACACTTCCAGGGCCAGCTCAGGATACAATCCTGAGCACACATACATTTACATTTCTGCAGTAAAGAGGAGAATATTAACAGCCATAGATTACATAGAGCCTAGAAAAAAGCCTTAGGTTCCTTTGGGTCCAGTCTTGCCACCAAGTCAGTTACATAAAACATTTCACTTTCCAGAGTTGTTTTTTTGTTTTATTTTGAGGATTTCAAAATTGCAGATAAGGAGTTGTGAACCCGTATTTGTACTTTGCACAAGAGATTTTCTATTTATGACTTTTCCCACTCTTAAAAAAAAGGATACCACTAAAAATTCCAATAGACTCTTTTAAAATATTCCTACACACATTTTAACTATGTTAGTAAATTATGAAAGCAGAATGTGAGACATATTTGGATGTGCTGTGATTAGTAATTAGTAATTAGTAAAAATGGTGGCATCTAGAAGCTTAATAAATAAGCCTTTTCAAAAAAAGAGAGATGCATGAAAGAGCCAAGATGTCCATCGACAGATGAATGGATAAAGAAGATGTGGTATATATATACAATGGACTATTATGCAGCCATCAAAAGGAATGAAATCTTGCCATTTGCAACGACGTGGATGGAACTGGAGGGTATTATGCTGAGCGAAATGTCACTCAGAGAAAGACAAATTTCATATCATGAAATATCTGTACCCCTGCACTCATTTGTCAGATATGAGGAATTCTTAATCTCAGGAAACAAACTGAGGGTTGCTGGAGTTGGGGGGGTGGGAGGGTGGCTGGGTGATAGACATTGGGGAGGGTATGTGCTATGGTGAGTGCTGTGAATTGTGTAAGACTGTTGAATCACAGACCTGTACCTCTGAAACAAATAATACATTATATGTTTAAAAAAAAAAAAAAGGAAGAAGATAACAAGAAGGGAAGAATGAAGGAGGGGAAATCGGAGGGGGAGACCAACCATGAAAGACTATGGACTCTGAGAAACAAACTGAGGGTTCTAGAGGGGAGGGGGTGGGGGGATGGGTTAGCCTGGTGATGGGTATTAAAGAGGGTGCGTACTGCATGGAGCACTGGGTGTTACATGCAAACAATGAATCATGGAAGCACTACATCAAAAACTAATGATGTAATGTATGGTGATTAACATAACATAATTAAAAAAAAGAGATGTATCAAAGGAGATAATTTGAAATAAGTAAACCAAAAGTAATCTGGAAACCTTTTTATTGTAATTTTGAAGTCCAAATAAGATTGATTTGGAGGGCTTAATTTATGTTCCAGAAATAATCAATGGCCCAATTATTCAGGCATAGAGTTTCCAAAGTAAGTGTTATGGAAGCTGTTAAGATATCAAATTGGGACATATTTATATTCATTAATTCATTTTTTAAATAGAGGAAAGTAGAAAATTAGTCACATTTTGTTTTCCTGTTGGCAGCTCCAGCAAAAGTGCCTGCTTGTGAGGTCAGTAATTAGGTTGCAACTAATGTGTTAAATGAGGTTTCTGATTAAATCATGATTTTGGTGTCCTTGATCTTTTGATACCCATTAGCAACTGTAAATTAGTTATTAAAGACATGGCAAGTATAACATTTATGGAATTGTTTACTCCATTATTAATTAAAAGAAACAATAAACAGTAACCTTCTGGCATATAAATAATTCGGTTTTGTCAACTGTTGGAAAGAGAGAATCTATTAACTTGAGAAATTTGGCATCATAAAAATCTTGAAAAAATGTAGGGAATGTGTTTTTCTTTGAAAGAATGGACTGCAGAGTATATATATTTTCCTTTTTAAACTTTTTTTTGAAATATTTACAGATTCACAGAC